GCTTGGGACTAGAAGTATTCCAGATTTTAGAATTTTTCAGATTTTGGAATATCTGCATGCATGTAATGAAATATCTTGGGGCTGGGATACAAGTCTAAACACAAAATTCATTTGTTTTACACAGAGCCTGAAGGTAATCTTATATAACATTTAAAATAATTTTGTGCATGAAACAAAATTTGTGGTAAGTACTTACATGGGGAATTTTCTACTCACGTTGGTGTTCAAAAAGTTTTGGATTTTGGAGCATTTTAGATTTTGGATTTTCAGATTAGGGTGGCTCAACCTGTAACTGTCATGGCACACGGCTTCCTAGCGTGTAAAGAGAACCTGCATGAAAGACACGGGGCATGGAACACTTCATACGCAATGCCCAGGAGTTTACAAATTTTGAGAACTGTAAACACGAAAATGTCTAAACATGATCAGATCTGTATTTTAGAACTTTTCCCGGGAGAAGTCAGGAAGTTTAACTGGATTTAATAAACCCAGGGGCAGTTTAAATAATGTAAGTCAGACACAGAAAGAAATGCCACACATTTTCATTCATAGATGAGAGTCAAACAAAAATTGAGTTCATAAAAAAAGAGGGTAGAATTGTAGTTATTGCAAAGAGTAAATGGAGGAGGGACAGGAGAGGTCAATTCAAAGTTACAAAGTTATAGGCCAGGCCCAGTGGTTCAAAGCCTGTAATCCCAGCACTTTGGGAGGCTGAGGCGAGAGGATTGCCTGATCCCTGGGGTTGGAGACCTGCCTGGGCAACTTGGTGACCTTGTCTCTACAATAAACCAAAAAATTAGCTGGGCATGGTAGTGCGTGCCTGTAGTTCCAGCTACTTATAAAACTGAGGTGGATCACCTGAACCCAGCAGGTCGAGGCTGCAGTGGCCTTGACTGTTCCACTGTACTTCAGCCTGTGTGACACAGTGAGACTCCAACTCAAAAAAAAAAAAAAATTACAAAGTTACAGCTAGATGAGAGGGTAAATTCATGTATACTGTATCACTGCAGGGTGAATATGGCTAATAATAATTTCGGGTATGTTTTCAAAAAGCTACAAGAGAAGAATCTGAATGTGCATAACACAAAGAAATGATAAGTATTTGAGGTGATAAGTATGCCAATTACCCTGGTCGAATCATTATATGTTGTATGCAGTATGGTTATGAGATATCTGTATCCCATAAATATGTACAATTATGACATGTCAACTAAAAAGAAAAAGAAAAAAACACGTCCTTACAAAGATCATAGTTTGGTAAAGAGTTTAATTCACTGAAGTAAAATAGCTCACAATCAACTCCCCGCTCCCCCCTAAAAAAAGAAATTGGGGTCAAAGAAATAATTCAGGAAGCTAACTGCTGTTGCTATCACAGGACGAAATATAAACTCTAAGGGTCTGAACACTGGCAGTGGACATTGAGAGCAAGGAAAGAAATTAAGAAGTATTAGCAGTGCCCTGGATCCCAGCCCTTCCTATGTACTAAAAACGAATCCCTCACTTTTTTGTCTACCTCACAAGTATTATTCATTAATATCTTAGAAGGAATACCTTAGAAGGAATACACTGGGGTTAGTATAAATGTGTATTGCTTTGTACCACTTTACCTAATTTAATTTTCAACGAATTTTATATAGGGATTGTCACTTTATAATGAAAAACCTTACTAGGCAGGAGACAGAAGAGAAAAATAATATAATACAATATAATATAATGATAATATAAAATAATATCTAAGGCACAGAAAATTAAAGCAGCTTGCTAAAGGTCGCACAGCTTGGTCAGCAGCACAGAAAAGATCCAACCCCGAGTTGTTTGAATCCAACGCGGATGCTCTCGGGCCTTTCCCACCCACCCACGCCAAACTGCTTCCTGCTCTTCCAGCCTTCCTTCCCCTTGACTCTGGCCGTTCATCTGAAGCAAGTCTTCTGTCCTTTCATGAGATGCTTATTCCTCCCACTCTTTCCAACTGCCATCCAGTGTCTTTCTTTTCACGTAATGTTGGCCTCGAGTCCATGGACATATCTATCTTTTCACCTGCCATTTTCTTTCTAAATGTCACCCATTTGGTTTCTGGGCCTTCTAAATTTACTCACACAAAGTATTGTTCAGAAAAATTCAAAATATTTCTCCACTCTTTCCCCCTTGTGCTCATGAGAGGACTCTGCCTCTTCACCACCACTTTCTTCTTGAAATGATTCATGATTCCTCCCCCAAGAGCCACAGCACTCTGGTCTCCGGTCGCCTCACACCAGCAGTTCCTTTTCTGTCTTTTTTGCCAGTTCCTTCCTGAAGATGAAAGCACTGTTCTTGTCTTCTTCTATGTTCTCTGCGTGTCATTAGAGGAGCCAGGGTTTTGTTTGCTTCTTTTTTTGTCTGCTGTTCTCTTTTAATGGGATCCTTCTATGTACTCTTCTCGTTATAATTTTAATTATATGATAGAAGATAAATATCTGTCTGCCTTAATTTCCCAACCATTTTTCAAGACCTATTTTCAAATCATCTTTAAAGACAGTTGTTTAGTGACTCGCCAACAACATACATTTTACACAGCTTCCCCAAATACCCCTTCACTACTGAGGCAGTCACCCTCTCCAGCGTCTCCTGTAAATAGGCAAAGAAGATATAAATGCACAAAGAACACCATCTGCTGCTAGTCATTTGCCCAACCACCATTCCTCCCAAGTGTTTAGATTCATTTATTCAAGAAAATAAATGTCAACCAAATTAGTTTACAGAATTAAAGTTGCAGGCCAGACATGGAAAGTACATGCCTGTAATCTCAGGGCCTTGGGAGGCCGAGGCAGAAAATCGGTCAAGGCCAGGATTTCAAGACCAGCCTGGCCAAAAATCCTGTCTCTACAAAAAGTGCTAAAAATTAGCTAGATCTGTTGGTGCCTGTAATCCAGGACTTTGGGAAGCTGAGGTGGGAAAATCGGTTGAGGCCAAGACATCAAGACAGGCCTGGGCAACACAGCAAAATCCCTGTCTCTACAAAAAGTGTTCAAAGTTAGCCAGGCGTGGAGGTGCAGGCCTGTAGTCCCAGCTACCAAGGAGGCTAAGGCTGGAGTACCAGTGAGCCCAGGAGTTCGAGGCTAGAGTGAGCCATGATCAGGCCACTGCACTCCAGCTTGGACCACAGAGGGAGACCCATTCTCTAAAAATTTTTTTTTAAAAAGCATGAAAATAAAAATTGCAACCTGCAGCTTATGATGTGAGAACGAGAGAGCAGATCAGCGGACTGGCCCCTGCTGAATGCGTCTCAGGTTCCGGAAGGACAAGGAACCCGTGTCCCCACCTTGACTCCGAGCCTCCTCCGAGGCTGGTATGATCCAATGGGCAAGCATTCCACGGAGCCCACACTGTGCCAGGCTGCCAGCGACTGAGGGAAGTCCTCGCGAGTGGGCGATGACAGCTCTTGAAGAGGGACTCAAGATGACCCTCAGTCGACACGGACCAGAAACACGAGTGAGTGCCAAGGAATTCCTAAAATCCCAGCCTGGAAGGACTGGATCCGGGGCTTGCGGTCACAGCGTAGTCCACCTCCAGCCTCCAATACCGGCACAAAAAAAAAAAAACGAAAAAAGTGTGCAAAATGCAACGAAGTGAAAAACCAGGGCGACCCTGCTCTGCGCCTCGACGGTCACAAGGCGGGAGCTCACGGGCGCTGGAGACCTAAAGAGCAACAGGCCACTGCTTTCCTTTGCTTGTTTTTTGTTCCTGGGGTGGTGGGGGGGG